ATAAAATGTATTTTTCCCTGAATATCTATTCATTTTTGCTTCTTGTTGCAGTTCTGATATTCTATTATTAATTGTGTAGTTTCATGTCTTAATTAATCAGGTTTGAGGACTCCTTTTATATGGTGCATTTTTCTAAGGTGTGATATTCTTGGAAGTCAGCACATCTTTTTTGGTTTCCTAAACTGCCCAGCCACCGGGGCTGGTTGAGTTTACTCAGCTCTCTGACAGCTACTCGGAGACAGGTGAGACCTACCAGATGCAAGGCGCCAACAGCTCACCTTTCAGGAGTGAAGACTCTCTATGCACTGGCTGTCCCCAAGAAGTCCAGAGACTCCCTGCCTCTATTCTCTTTGCTCTGGCCCAGAGACGCACACATGGCTTCCACTGCTCGACCTAACTGGATGTCAGAAAACGCAAACCCCAGGGCTGTTCTAGGGTCCCCTCTGCGCATGCATCCCCGTTCTTACATGCACGGTAGCACGTCTGGCACAGCTCCTGCCACTCACACATGGTTCTAATGTCTACGTTTTCCAGTAATCCAAGTCAAATCGTTTTCAGTCTTTCAGGAGATCTTCAAACTGTCTGATGTACTTATGCCATTCTCCCAGACTACTGCTTTAGATGTATTTACAGTATCTTTTGAATCATTCCTAAGATCCGGCTTGAAAGAAGAAAACAGAAACACGAGCTGAGGTCAGTCTGCAGTCTTTTCATTTGGATGCCAGATCCACTCGTGCCCCCATTCTCCTTGCAAGCTGCTACCCTTCCCCCACCCACGCTGACACCCGCTCTCAATGTCGACAGCTCGTCCGCAGTGCAGTCCCCAGATAGTAAACCGTTGAAAATGTACATCATCATAGAAATACTTCAGTTCAAGCAAGGTAACAAATGAAAAAGAAAAATTAAAGTACAGAGGGCTCCAAACTCTGAAAAATGTAATCAAGATGACTACTGCTTAAAATTCTTACCTAAGTGGGTAATAAGATAAATAACAATTTTAGTAGCCACTAATTATCACCATGAAAAAATAATTTATGTCTTCAAGCATTTCAATATTACATCAAAAAAGAACCACAGTCACAATATGTAGCGATCTGGTTTACTTTTGCCCTGCAGTTAGGTTTGCTGTCTTCTTTTAAAAGTTCCTGTGTCAATTCTGAGCACAAACACATTTGTACTGCTTCAGGGAATTTAATTTGTTGCTTCTATGTGCTTTTTTGTTAAAAAAATTAGTATTTAAAATATAGTAATATACTGGATGTGTTCCATTTCATTACTCAGTGATTTTCATTGAGTGCCTACTAAAAACCAGACATCCCACAATGTGTTACAAATGAAAAGAGATGAAGAAGACAGGATCATCAAATATGGTTCAACTGATATTACTCAATATCAGGCTAATTAGGCAAAAGCAGCAAGAACACTTCATAAATTGATTGCTATATATACAAATATAGTCTGTGCTCTATATAAAGAGGAAATGATACCCAGGAAGAGTAAGCACTTGAAGAGGCAGCACTTGACACTGTAACCAAATCTTCTGACACTCTCTTTCCATTACACAACTGGGATTAAAATGCGGAGGATAAATTGACCGATATAATTTTTTTTTTTTTTTGACAGAGTGGACAGTGAGAGAGAGACAGAGACAGAGAGAAAGGTCTTCCTTTTCCATTGGTTCACCCTCCAATGGCCACCGCGGCCGGCGCACCGCGCTGATCCGAAGCCAGGAGCCAGGTGCTTATCCTGATCTCCCATGGGGTGCAGGGCCCAAGGACTTGGGCCATCCTCCACTGCACTCCCGGGCCACAGCAGAGAGCTGGCCTGGAAGAGGGGCAACCGGGACAAAATCCGGCGCCCCGACCGGGACTAGAACCCCAGGTGCCAGCGCCGCAGGCAGAGGATTAGCCTAGTGAGCCGCGGCGCCAGCCCAATCTTATAAATGTTTACAACTTTCAAATACAATATGCAAAAATCCAGAAGATGTTGAGGAGTTCAGATGTGAAGGGATAGTTAGTAGGCAAAACTAGCTACTGAGGGGTCGGTGCTGTGGCTCACTTGGTTAATCCTCCGCCTGGGGCACTGGCATCCCACATGGACGCTGGGTTCTAGTCCCAGTTGCTCCTCTTCCAGTCCTGCTCTCTGCTGTGGCCAGGGAGGGCAGTGGAGGATGGCCCAAGTGCTTGGGCCCTGCACCCGCATGGGAGACCAGGAGGAAGCACCTGGCTCCTGGCTTCAGATCGGCACAGCGCCGGCCATAGTGGCCATTTGGGGGGTGAACCAATGGAAGGAAGACCTTTCTCTCTGTCTCTCCTTCTCACTGTCTATAACTCTACCTGTCAAATAAATAAATAAAAAATAAATTAAAAAAAAAAAAAACTAGCTACTAAGAGAGGGAAGGTACATTTGGTGATTACTCTTTCCTGGGCAACTACCAGTGAGAGAGCTTTTACTAACTGAAAAGAGTAAGTTGCTGAGATCTAAAGGCAGCTGCATTCACAAATAGGTCACCCTATCTACGTGACGCTATCATGATCCCTCACATGGAACTGCAGCATCACAGGATTCTGGAGCCAAAGATGCACAAGAATGTCGATCAGCATCCACAGTGAGACCCAAACACCAACGCAATGACTCGACTCTAGCAGGTGAGACTTGTAGTGCTGTCTCAGCAGACGACATTCTAGGGCTGCTTCTCCACGCGGCATCTTCTGGCCTGGTCAGGGGAGATCTGTCCTCTCGTTCCCTTGACAAGGTCTGCGTTTCCGCACCCCCATCAGTATCCTTCCTTCACCTACATCGTTCATCGCCATCCGTGCTGGAGAAAAGCCTCGCCAAGCCTCAGAATCCATCACACCCACTCTGCTCTGGGAAGCCTTCCTCAATTGCCCTGAGGACATTTCATTTCTCTTGCTGGCACCTCACCAGTTGGATTCTATTTGTGTGTATGGGTCTTTTCTACATCTGTGAGCCACCAAATGGTAGAATATTTCAACCCCTGAATTAGCATCCCAAAGGATTAAATCCTACTACCCCAGTTTTATTTACATCATGTAAATTTACTTAGGAAATTTGATGTCCAGAGAAATCAGGGAGCTGTCAATCCCAGAGCAGGCCAATGAGCGAGTTGAGATAAGAGAGGACGCTCCTAGTCTACTAGCTTACAAGGGGGCAGAGGCTGGCGTGGTGGAGTCTGGAGTACCAAACCCACCCTTCTTGGCTCTCCGCCTGACATTTTACTCCACGTCTGACTGCTGCCTGGTATTGCTGGCAACGTCAGTTTTCCTCAATAACAAAGACTTCCCAGTTCAGAACACATCCATATGTGGCTAATAGGAAAAGCGAGTAGAAGTCCAACATGATAAACAGGGGGGCATGTCAAACTCCTATTCCACCCATGAAAAACCTACTCATAATTCTGTAGGGAGCAGAGGCAGAGCTCATTTGGAAAATGTGACCCATAGCCCACATTTCAACACAGTGCAATGCTTTATCCCCTATTGCTCCTGCCACACCAGGAACTTTCTAGATGTAATTATTTAATCCCCAGCCAAAAGCCTGTGTACAATGAAACTCCCAGAAAATGTTTTCCCTGCTGAAGTGTTCAAATGCCAGCTCCACAGAAAACATTTTTAAAAGCTTTCCGTGACATTTTTCTACACCATGTTCTCACACTTGAAATGCCATAGTTAAATCTTCATCATTAAGAGCATCTCGTAAAATACAGTCCTGCCCAGCAATTTACATCATTTGACTGTGCAAACTTGTGGGAGAGGGGAGGGTGGGCAGAGGGAAACATTTCCACTTTCATTTTGTTAAAATTTTTAACCATCTTCTTCCATTTCACAGTTTGGATAACTTTGTGCTGATAATTTCTGCTATCCATTGCTGCTGGATTTTTCTCCCAATGAGTAAGTTGATTTCATACGAGTTCTTGTGGAATTCATCGGTGACTCACTCTGAAGGGCCAAAGAAAACCCACAGATCACATGAGCATTTTCAATATTGTGTGAGTTTCCCTGCAAAACAACAGTGCAGGCCTTGGCGGTGACAATTGTACAAAATGAATGTAATCAGACACTGATGTGCACATCTAACCAGGGCTAATGTGCTAAACCTGTGTATTTCATCACACATACAAACACACACACACAGTTAAAGCCAACTATGGAAGGTAACATTGGTTCCAAACCCTGGGTGAGGACACAGAGCAAAATCAAAGCATGAGCCACACAGAGCAAGGGCTTCCGTTCCCAACAGATTTAACAAAGCGCTCCCCACGCCCATCTTGTCTATGTCCCACCACGCAGTGTAGAGAAGAGAGAGAAACTGCAGTCAAATAAAACGTGACCCTTAGGAAACTCAGTGTCCGCTCCCAGGTACTGGACCCTTTGGATCCTGACTGGATGGCACTGCCTCCTAAGTCCACAGCCCGTCCCTGGGGCGTCTACCTCTCCACGCTCCTCTTTGACAGGAACACGGAACAGGCGTCCAGTGTGGCGATGGGTGTGCGTAACGCCAGCCAGCTGCGAGGGAGCTGGACCCGACTGTAAGACAACACGCGGGGCACCTGGGGAGGGGGGGCAGGAAGGAGGTACAGCAGGGAGCAGGTTGGTGGTCTTCCAGTCTCACAGACACCACGTGGAAGCTTATTTTAGAAAACCCTGGGAAACAGAAGGAAGTTGAGCCAATGGGAAAAGAAGGCAAGGAGGCCGAATTGCATAGACTGAAATCAACACCTGACACTCTGTATGAAGGTCCTTTATCCATTCAACTAGCCTCTGGGTGCAGCGCACCACCCTGGAGATGTTCCCCCGGAGGCAGGGAGGCACGCAGTGTAGACAGCCCGGGGCGGGGGGCGGGGGTGCCATCCGGGACGCAGTGCAGAAGGAACACACAGAAAGGGGGAAGGGGTGCATGCCAAGCAGCCTGGTCTGCGGGGTGAAGAGGAGGAGCAGCAAGGGCAGGGGTGGGCAGAGCTGGGGAGGGAAGGCGCTTACCAGGCCACCTCCACAGGTGCTGAAAGAGGCCAGGGAGCCCGGGTGCCGCAGCACCGCCCCGGTGTAAAAGCAGGCGGCGTCGGGCGGCGCGGGAGGGCGCGGAGCGGCCGCTGCCCCCGTGGGGCCGGGGCCCGGGCTCGGCCGCTGTTCCACCGCGAAGCGCGGCGCCAGGAAGCGGCTGTCTCTCCGGAGCAGCAGGTACAGGTCCCGGGAGAAGGCCGGGATCCTCAGCAACACCTCGTCGCCGTTGGGCTCGGCTGGCTGGGCCGGGGCCGGGGGCGGCTGCCACGAGGCCGGGGCGCCCGCGCCGCTGGATCCCCTCGGCAGCTCCTGCGACTCGAGCTCCTCGTCCTCCTCACCCCCCTGCGGCGACGGGGGCCGGGGCCGGGCCTCAGCCCCCGCGGGCTCCTCCAGGGGCGCCGGGGCCACCGAGCGCACCTCGCGGGAGCTGCCCGCAGCCTGCGCCCGGGCGCCTCCGCCGGCCGCCGCGCCGCGCACCCAGCCCGGGTCCGCGCTGCCCCCGCTGCCGCTGGCCGCGTCCACCGGCTCCCGGCGCCAGAGTGCAGGAAACACGACCTCCCACTCCTCGCGGTCGGGGGCGAACTGCAGCCCTGCAGGCGGGGCAGACAGAGAAATGCAGGGCGTAAAGCGCCGCGGTTGCAGGAGCGCCGGCGTTCCCGGGCTCGCGGTCCGCACGGAGACGCGGCGCTCGCGCCAGTGCGACGGGCACCACCCGCCCCCGGCCCCGCAGCCCCGCGACCGGGCTGGAGGCGCGATGACATGGGGGAGGGGGCGGCCGAGGTGGGCGACCGCACTCGGTGGCGGAACAGAAAACCCCGGGGCAGAGGCTGCAGCCCAGCGCAGCGCATGCCAAAGCGCTCAGTGTGTGTCGCGGCACGCCTCCCACTTTTCCTCCAGGTGCCGTAAATGCGCCTTTGCAACGGTTACTGCTCTCGGCGGAGGAAAACTCCATTCCACAGACGGCTACCACGAGGCCGCGAGGAGCGCGCCCCGCGTCCGAGCTCGGCCCCGCAGCTGCACGCCCATCCCCGCTCCGCACGCGCCGGGCGGCACCAGCCCTGCCCACCCGTGTGTGCTCGCTCTCCTCTCGGGGAACCTGGGAAGGCAGCCAGAGCTGCCGAGAACTTACCTGAAAGGAGCCCATTCGACAGGAAGCCCAGCTGGTAGAGCAGGCAGCAGCAGCAGATGCGAGTCAGCCGCATCTCGCGGCTCCGGCCCGTGCCGCGCTCCCGCGGCCGCCGCCTCTGGCCCCGCGGGCGCAGCCGCCTCCCCGGAGCGCTGGGAGGCCGGGCGGCGAATTTGCCCGGGCCCTTTGTCTGCCGCGCGGGGCGGGGGGTGGTGGGGGGAGCCGAGGGACTCCCGGAGGCCGCCGGAGCTCGGGCGGGGACGGACAGGGGGAGGAGCGGGGAAGGCAGCGCCGCGGCCCGGAGCGCCCCGGCTCCCTGGCGAGTTAGGTGAGGAGTCCGCTCTCGGTGCTCGGCACGTTGCACGAGCCTCCGCGGCCGAGCTAGGCGAGAGGCGAGCCCCGCCGGACGGACCCGCGGTCAGGGGCGCGCAGCGTGCGCAGTGCTGCCCCGGGCCGGCCCGCCGAGCCGGGGCGCGCTGCCTGCCCCGGGCGCCGCAACTCGGTGTGCGGAGCTCCGCACACTCGCGCGGGAGGCCGCTGCGCTCAGAGGGGATGAGTGCAGGGTAGGAGAGGACACAACTGGCGCGGTGGGTGTGGAGGAGCAAGCAAAAAAAAAAAAAAAAAAAAAAGCCGATCCAACAACAACAAAAAAAAGGACCAAGGGGTGCCCGCCAAGCGTGACGTTGCGGGACAAAGGTCCCAGAACACCGCACACGTGCTCACGCGCCGCGCTGGGTGGGGTGGGGACCTAAATTCCCTGGCCTCACTCCTGATTGGCCGCGCGGCAAGTCGCTATTTGCATCCGCACCTCCTGCGGCTGCCGGCGGAGGTGCGTGCAGGTAGCCGGGCCTCGGCGGGCTACTCCTCGGGTTCGAGTCTGTCCGGGGCGCAGACAGCCCTGGAAGCAAAACTTGATACAGATGCGAGCACGGCGCTGTCGCCGGCTTTACCGGAGGCCTTTGTTGTGTCCGCCGGGCCTTGTCAGGGGGGCGTTTTCCATGTCTGGGGATCAGGTAATTCATCTTGGGTGGGCTTCGAGGGCTCCCAGGACAACACGAGGCGCCCCGACAGGGCAGCGCCTCCGGTCCCACCTAGCTTTCCGGTTGTGTGTGTGTCCCCTTCTCCCTCCTTCTCTCCCACCCTCTCTCCCTTCCTCCCACTCCTGCCAGTGGAGAATAAACTTAGAGAGCTCAGTATCACATCCTGTTTTCCTAAGACCCCAGACCAGGTGAGACAATTTGGCCTTTTGTCCGTGACAAAGGGATATCGCTACTTCTGCGCTCTTTGGGGGCAACCCAACCACAAATATTCTACTACCTTTATGGCACCTTCTCTCCCTTCCAGACTTCCCCCTCAGCCACATGAAGCCATCGCATCAAGATGTCTGATCTAATCTGTCCCGCCATTGGCATCTTCGGGCTGAGGCCAGATACCTAGAAATGAGAATTAATGCAAAATCAGCTTTAAAAAAAAATCCAAGCCCTGAGGTTGGTTCCTGCACATTCTTTGTTGTTTTACCTTCTGATGCCCGTGTCAAAGGTGACCACTATGCCTTTAAGGGAGGCAGACTATCTTATTTCAAAGGCAAGCCATTGTTTGAATAAGCCGGCTCCTAGAATACTTTCTTTGACTTTTCTGGAGTTGAGAAGCAAACACGAAGACCCTCTAGGTGAGTTTCCCCAGAGTGTTGTGTCTGCAAGCCTGTCTTGTAAAAGTCTTGAAAACTGGAGTAACTAGGGTACAAGTTTCAGATACTCAAAAAATACCTGGGTTTCCCAGGACCTTGCTTGCAAGCACTCAATTATATGGACTTAAAACTAGGCAAAAGCTCGGAGGTAGTTAATTTTGAAGAAGGACATCAGGCTCTTAAGATTAAAAGTTCCTTTCCGTGAAACAGCTCAGTAGGATATTGGTCTTAAATGTTTTTCACATCTGTTTTTAGCAATACTGACGACAACAACAACAAAAAATTATGGCAGGGATGCTTAATGTATGTATTCATTGAAATCCATTTGTGATTTTTTAAAACTAAGCCAGACAATTAAGTTTAAATATGCTTAAAAAACGCAAGTGGCCAAAATAAGTTCCCATCCTTGCTTCCCCCCCCCCCCCGATGATGCACAAATCCCTCCAATCCCTCACAGTACAAGTTAATAATAACTGTTACAGAGAAGTCTGCCGAGTTCCCGGCCGGCTCTGCTCTTTCTTCCACTTGAAGCACTGTTGTAATTTATTGGGACTTTTTCAAAGGCTTCCTCAGCCTTTTGGGTTGGAATAATTTGTATACTTGTTTCTCCTACAAGACAGTCAATTTTTTGAAGAGTAGGAATGATTTCTCTCATGTCTCTTTTTTACATCACCCTGCCTAATTCAATGATTTACTTTGTCTCAGTGTGGAAATTCTCAGAAAGTTCTCCAAGACACCCTAGAAGGTGATGGAAATTGATTCCTTCGTGGCATTGTCCAATTCCAATTGCTTAATCCAGGGTTACAACACTTGCTCTGCTGGTGACCAACCACTATCAGCATGATTTATCTGCTTCCAGGGAGAGCAAGCCTATTAGAGAAATGGCATGTGGGAAATGTTTGTGCTCAAGCTAGGGTAGGCTTGGATGTGCAAATCAGAGCATCAGTTTAACTGGATGTGAGTATGTATGTACATGAAAGAAAGAACGCGTCTGGCTTGAAACTGAGTAAGTCATGCCTGGAGAAATGGGGGAGAAAAGGCAGGACTGGCATGTGTGTGCTTTACCCACCTTGGAGCACAGGAAAGAGCAGCTGGAGAAAATATGTTGGTTAAGACAGGTCACTTCGTATGTCACCAGATGGTAGCTAGCATCAGCTGAGCACCGCTTCCGTGATCTCAGAGCAAGGACAGACTGGGAAGAGGTGAATGACAAAGCATGGGAGTAAGTGGAAACAACTGTTCTCACGCACAAGGCGCTCACATGTTGCATTTTACAACCCAGGCTTCTCCATGTACGAAGTTAGCTTTGATGCCTTTAGCCTTTCCTTGTTCTCTTCACTCGTCAGCACTAAGCCACTCACAATCTGAAGTTAACTTTAAATCCTTTCCCCCCAGGGAAAAAAAATTTAATATCTTGAGAAAATACAAAGAACCCTTTCATGGCGTTGCATGAGGACACCAACTCCCAGTGGAACTCAGGTCTCATTCAAGATCATGATATAAGCTAGTTCTTCTGGCCAGGATGGACTAACAGGGAGTGGATTTAATGCTTACCTTAAGCAATCAGAAAATACACAAAATGTGTCCAACTGTGGTTTTCAGGCAGTGGACAGCATGCAGTGTAGGATTGCGATCTATGAGGGAGAGCAGCAAAGGCGCTGACCTCTTCCAGTTCCCCGGCTAGCTTCCCAGCTCGAGGCAGCACAGCCCTGAAAACCGGCTGAGCTGAGGTAGAGCAAGGTGGCCGAAATTTCCAGGGCAGCATTCCAGAGAGGAGGGAGTTGCCACTGGAGTGTATCTGTTAGGCAGGGCTGCCCAACAATCCCAGCAGTTCAAAACAACTAGCATTTATCATCCTATATAGTTTCTGAGGGTCGAGCATCCAGGAGAGACTAAGGTGAATGTTTCTGGGTCAAGGTCATTCACAAGATTGCAGTCAACTCTGCCAAAGCTATGGGTTCAGAGACTTAACTGGAGGCGGCAGTTCTGTTCCCAGCCTGCATGATTGTTGGCAGGAAGCTCAGAAACCTGTTAAATGGCCCTGTCCGTAGGGTTGCCTATGACGTATAATTCCTCAGAGCAAATGATCAGAGAAAGACTGCCTGTGTTCTTACAACTTGATCTAAAAAGTGGCATGCCATCACGTGTGTCATATTCTCTCCATATGAGAGTAGCCAGTAAGTCCAGGGCGCAAAGTGAGCAATATCCAAAAATTCATGAAAATATTTTGAAACCAATCACTGTCTTTCCCTGGCCCTAAATTATTTGTAATCCCTCTGCGTGTGAAACACATTCATCCTCTTCCAAGTCTCTCTAAAGAGTCATCCCGCAACAGCATCAACTCCAAGTCCAGAAACTCATTGCCTTGCTTTGAGGTATGCGGAGTGTACTCCTGTGGTCCCCTAAGTAACACTCCTTGTACTCATGGAGAGATCCCACTGTAGGCTTGTGAAGCCAAAGGAACAATCCATTTGGGTCCCACACACCCAGTATACTGTCTTAGGACAAGCATGTGACAACTGCTATTGACATTTCTGTTCAAAAAGGAGGAAAGGAGACAAAATTAGGAGTCATACAGTTGTGTTTACACAAATCTATGTATGATAAAATTTCTTAGATACACACAATGGTGATATCCAACTCAGCTCTCTGCAGTTTACTTAATACTGTTGTGCTAATCTCAGTAACCTACTTTTGATGATGTGCTATGGTTATAGAAAACCTTATCATTGATAGAAACTGAAAGACTTCCGAAATATCTGTATTATCATTTCACATTTTAGTCCAAAATTATTTCAAAACAAAATCTAAAGAAGTACTTATTTTTTGTTAAAGATGTATGTATGTACGTATGTTTGTATTTAGAAGGCAGAGTTATAGAGACACCGAGACAGAAACTTCCATCCACTGGTTCCCTTTTCAGATATCCAGGCTGAAGCCAGGAACCTGGAACTCCACTCCATCCATGTCTCCCATGTGAATGGCAGGTGCCCAAGGACTTGGACCATCTTCTGCTGCTTTCACAGGTACGTTAGCAGAGAGCTGGATAGGAAGTTGAACAGCCTGAACTTGAACTGTCACCCATAAGGATGTCAGCACTGCAGATGACAGCTTAACCTTCTGTGCCACAACACCAGCCCCAGTAAAGCTTCTTTAAGGTACTTTAGTAATATGCTGCTCATTGCCCCATGGCCAGTCCCAAACCATGCTCACAGTTCAGGTTTTTGTTACAGCAATGGCTATTTTAATATATCAAAATCTGTATAAGTTATCTATTACTGCATAATGAATTACGCCGAAGTGTAGCATCTTGAAACAACAAACATTCTGTTATCTTGTGCAGTTTTTTAGAAGTCTGGAAGAGGCTTATCTGGATAGCTCTGGTTCACAATTTCTGAAGTTCAGATTAAATTGTTGGCCAGACCTACAGACTCTAGTCACAAAAGAAAATGGCCTGAAACTTCTGGCTTTCCTTAAAGCAGGTGTCCAAGAAGAAGCTAGAGTGCACCCAAGTGGAAGGGATAGCATGTTGGTAACCCAGGGACAGAACTGGGGCATCACAACTTCTGCCATTATCAGACAGGTCGGGTTTACTAAGTGCAACTTATGGTCAAATGGGAAAGAATTAAAGGAAATCTCCTGTGTGATGGGAGGAATAACAAAGAATTTGTGGGCAAACACTTAATACTACCACAAAGAGAGAATTCTAGATGTCTGCCACAA